GGGGGGGGGGGGGGGGATGGGGTACACCTCATGTCACTGGAGGCAATATTAGAATTTTCTTTACTCTGCTTCCAGCAGAAGTGGGAAAGAAATATTCACTGTTGAATATTGTGGCTGTGGTGTAAAACAAGCCTACTGAGCATTCAAGAATTGTGGGCACTCTAGCAGGAAGTGTTTAATAGTGATGAGAAAGATTCATGACATGAATCTTAGTGTTCCTCTTCAATGGTATTGACAAGCAGGGACTCTATGCCCAATTCTTAAGTAATTTAGGGCAATGTTCAGTTGTACTGAAGAAGTAATCCATACGCCTTAAAATAGGAAACAATACACAATGCATATGTCCTAAGTGCTGCTTCCTTACCACCAAAAGCTGTTTTTACAATACAGTGTTCCTGGTCAAACATGCACAGCTGCTGCTTTGAAGCAGTGAGCAAGAGACGTACTCAAATGAAGCTCAGTTGGACAAAAGTAAGATGCTTAAGGAAGGTGACCTGTTGACTAGCACTGGCAGAGGGTGAATTGGATCATATTTCCTTTAAAAGAAAAGATGTAGCGTTTTTGGAAGAATATTGGATTCCAGTGGTTGCTGTAGTTATATATACCAGCTTCAGAAAGTGTTTAGGAAAGGGAACAACTGGAGATAAGGATATTGTTCCTATTGTGTGTATGCTGAAGACACTTGCCCTGGCCATGAGAATGAGTCTGGGAGAGCCTCTGAAGAGTTTCCAACTGCTACTCCATTCTGCAGCAGAATTTGTATTAAAAAACAGCCATGTGGAACGCAACACATTGGTACCTCTTTCTCTACCTATTACCAGGATCATTTCTAGACAAACTCTGGAGTGTCATTTTTCATCTTTAAACTTCAACAATGCTTTGACTAGAGATCAGTATGGATTGACCCTTTGCATTTGCAAGGAGTGATCTTTTCATAAAAAGAGAAGACTGACCAGCGCTAGTAGTAAGACTTTCTTAGAGATGCCCTGCACTATGAAACATCTTTTCACCTTAAACACAACATGTAGACTTTGCTGGTCCTCTTGGACAGATATTGACAACTTTTCAGGATATGACTCTGGAATACAAATTATTCCAGAGGAACTACTTTAAAAAAATTCTCTTGTTTTATCTTATTTCTGCTATGAATCCAGTTGTAACTAATTTTCAGAACTAAAAGCAAGTTATAAAGGCTATACAATATGTTTCTTTTTGTTTTCTCTTTTTCCAGGGCATCTACTTTCAAAGAACTTACTAAAGGAAGCTTGGTGCCTTCCATAATGTTTAGAAAGAATATATAGTCCAATACATCTAGAAGGCATCAGTAAAGAAAGATCGCACTAAGATGTGTAAGACTGTTTAACATTAAATCAGTACTGTATAAGAAAACAGGAGAAATAAACAAAACATCAAAGAAAAATAAAAAGGCACTATCTGGAAGAAGATACAAACAGAAAAAGTCTTCTCTCCCTTTGCATCTGTGAGACTGGTTTGATCTCCTTAATTTTTATGTATCCAAACTCAAATATGTAAGCAAGAGTTTGTGAGTTTTAAAAAGGGAGAGAGGTACTAATGGTTTATAAACCATCCTGAATATTGCAATCCACAATTCCAAAGTAATCATTTTATACAGTAGTCCAGGGCATTGCAGTAGAGCGAATAAGACAGTGGGCTGAAACTTTTTAAAGAAATTCGTCCCATTCTCTTGCTTCTGCCAAAATGCCAACAATGAACAATTAAATTGGACCATTAGAAGTCTGAGCCAGCTGTCCACTAACATGCTAAGGTAAAGTGGTTTTTCCTGTTCTAAATTCCCCCTTGAGACATGAGAAGCTGAGAAGCAGCATGTCTGATTTCATTTAAAAACAGAGAATGAGGACTTTATTATGGAATAATTTGCCCTGGGGGAGGAGATTTAAGTGCTACATAATGCCCATATGCCACTTCTAAAGTGCCATCTGGAACTGACTACTGGATAAACGCACAATAGAATTTTCACCCATTTGTATACTGAAGGTCTCAGAAGACAGCAATACTAATTAAAGCAAAGTGGCCATTTGATACTGAAAAATGGGTATGGGTCATTTAAATTATTCTTGCACACCAGAATTGTTTCATTCTTTTTTGCATAATCAAAACCGAAACTATACCTCTTGGCAGTAGGATGAATGGAAACTGGAGTAATATCAGGATCATGTTATTGTCTGCTCATTGGTGCAGTCAGTTTGGAGCAAGGAGTGAGGTTGGGGAAAAAAGACAGCGAAGAGAGGAGAAACTCAGCCAGAGGGCAACGAGGAGGACAAAAGAGACTTTTTGTTTGCCTTCAGAAAAGGAAACAACAGTACTACTGACCAACTTAGGTTTTTGCCATAACCCCAAACACACACTCCAAAAAAGGATAAATTAATGATCCTGTCATTCACTGGATGAATATTATTGCTACCAATTTGTGCAAATAAGTATTAATGTGGTTCTTAGGAGAATATGATTGACTATGCCAAGCATGTCAAGTTGTGGAAGGTGCTTAGAAAAGTGGGAATCCCAGAACATCTCAAGTGAAACCTAAATACAGGTAAGGAAGCCACAGAACATGGCAAAACAGACTGAAAAAGGAGTGAGACAAGGCTGTATACTTTAACCTAATTTATTCAGTTTATATGCTGAATACAAGGGAAGCTGGCCTGGAAAAAAATGAGCATGGTTTTAAAACTGGAGGAAGATGCATCAATAGCCTGCACTAAGCTGATGATACTATTCTGATAGCCAGAAATGCAAAGGATCTGCAAGCTGTAGTAACAGAAATCAAAGTGAAAAAATGGGATTCAGATTAAATATAAAGAAGACCAAATTAATGACAACAGATACAACAACCAGCCTTAGAATTGACAATAAAGATATTGAAGCTGCAGACAGCTCTTGCCTTTTAGAATCAACCATCAATAGGAAAAAAACAAGCAGTCAAGAAGTACCCTGCATGGTAGAGTAGCCACGAAGACCTCAGAAAAGATATTCTGATACTATGATGTGTCTATTCCAACAAAGATCAGAATAGTACAGGCAATGGTATTCTTTATGACACTTTATGGAAATGAAAGTTGGATTCTGAAGAAGCTGGATAGAAAGAATATTGATACTTCTGAACTTAGGTGTTGGAGAAGACTCCTGAGAATACCATGGATAGCCAAGAAAACAAACAAGTGGATCATTGGATAAATCAACCCAGAGTTACTTGAGGCACAAATGACCAGGCTCAAATTATCCTACTTCGGACATATTATGTGAAGACCTAGCTCACTAGGGGAAGGCTCTATTGCTGGAAAAGGTGGAAGGAAACAGAAGAAAATGATGATTAGCAGCAAGGTGGTGGCTGGACTCAGTTACAGTGGTGATGGGTACACTGTTGGAAGCCCTGAAGTTAGGGATATATTGTCCTGGAGAACATCTATCTATCTCCACTGAGAGTCAACACTGACTTGATGCCACATAATCAATCAATCAATCAATCAATCAATCAATCGGTGAATATATCTCAAGGCTATAACAGCATAATCCACAATCTCAACTAAAAATAACTGGTATCAAGAAATCTATTACCTTTCATTTCTCACCCTTCATTGCTATATTTGTCTTTGCTGGAGTTAAAAACCCTCCTTTGTCTTGCATACTTCTTTCTATCTGAGGCCAGTAGTTTATTTACTTTATAACTACCCAATCAGCATCTTATTTGGAAGATCTTTCTAGCTCTTTCCCTCTCCAGTCTCATCATTCTTTTAAAGATTACACATAAGAGTAACATACAGATGTTCATTTTTCCTTATCCTTGAATTCACTGTAAATACTCTTGAGGAAAATGCATTACTCCATTCAATGCAAGAATTAAAAGAGCAAAAGAAATCCTTCCCCAAGTTCTAGTCTTGTTATATTGGCATTCACTTTACATAGGTTTTGAGAGACATAATAAAAGAAAATATGACAATGTTGTTGTTACTCAAAAAAGTGCATGGGTTTTCTCCTATCTCACTAGTGCCTTGGTTCAAAGATGTTTTTGATGAACTACAAAAGCATGCAAAACCCATGTGGCTTGGAAACTAGAAGGGCGTGGAAAAATCTGCAAATTCAGTTCTCCAAAGACCAACTCTTAGGTAGGAAAACAGCATAACTTACATTCAAGAGAGAGTGAATAGCAGACCCAAGGGATCCTAAGGTTTGTAGAAATGCAAACACATCCTTAGGAGGTTGGGAGGGATTGAGCACTAACTGACAAGTGACTGCTGAAGAAAGATCAGTAAGGAATCCAGAAGGGAATGATTGGCAGGTTAATATAGGGGACAGCAGCCCTCTACATGGCAACCTTTCATTCTAAGACGCACCTCTTCAATAGCCTTTTTTCTCACCCTATCCTGAAATCAGGATTGCTAAACTCCTGTGGACAAGGACTTGTCTTTTGCCTACCGTGATACTTGTAAAAGCATCATCTATTCACGCACTGTAGCGGCTCCGGCAATGGTTAAATGGTTGCAGTGTATTTAATTTGACTCAGCTTCCAGAATCAGAGCTTACTTTCTACAGAAAATGGAAAAGAAGGGAGGGCAGCAGGCCAAGAGTTTGTCATGGCACCACCAGGTTGGGGCACTGTGGTGCTGTCCAGGCACCAATCACTCTGCACATGTAAAAACTGACACCATTTCATGGCTGCTGAAGTCACATGACTACAGGATTGGTTTCAGAGGCAATAAATCCAGGACTCAGTTCCTACTTAATCAGGAAGCTCACTGGGAACCACTGGTACTACCACCAGCTTTCGGTGAGAAGTTAGGATTTAGAGCTCTTGCTTATCCCACCTTTCCTTGTAATACAGTACATCAAATATTCTTGTACTCCATGAAATGGAAACTGTGGCAATAATCTTTCTGCTGCACCAGGTTGGCTAGCACTGAGCAGAGAAGTATTGAGAAGGTTGATATCTCATGAAGTTGTTTATATTACCCACGAGAAGAAGAAAGCAAGTAAAGAAGCAGCAGCAGCACTACCGTATCTTCTTTAAATGTTTAGTCTGGCAGTCAATCAAACCAACCTACTAGGAGACTGGGAAGAGGAAAATAAGGTCACTTTGAACACCTGGAAAACCCGTGCCACAATAAACGTGCTAAACCTCATGATGCACTGTAAACATAAAAGCTGTGCATAAATACATATAATAAATCATCACAATAAAATGTTTACCTGATCCTTATTAACGAATCCCCAGATGCCAGCAGCCACTTCACAAGCAAACAAGATGACAAGGCATGTAAAAAACTGAAAAGAAAAGATATATATTAGATTAAGGAAGGTCTAGAGGCATGTCCATTAACAGAAAAGATCTTTGGTGCAAGCATGCACGTATGAGCAGTGATATAAAGAAGACTCAACTAGTGGTTTCATAAATAGAGCCCCAAACAACAAAATAATGTTTTTATTTGTGTTTTTAAAGCAGTTATTGGTTTTAGCCCTCAGTTAATAAGGGATATATTCTACTTAGCCTTCCATTCAAGACTGCTACCAGTTTGTTTCTTATTCACACTGGATACAGGAGGATTGGAATGAAAAAGAGCAGGGAACGTATCTCCCAGCTGTATCACAGCATCAAAGGCCAGTTATTCATCCTTTCATGCTGGTGTGGCTGAAGGGGTTTACTCAAAGGAAATCTGTAAAGATGCATATCTCACCTATTCATTCTCTTCCTCTGAAGATGCTAAAAGTAACCTAACAGTGTGTTCTGAAAAATAAAACATTAATCTCCAAACATTTAAGGTTCAGTCATAAATATTTTATACTCATTTAAATGCCAATGGAAGTTTTGCAGAGAATGGTACAGTTCCATCCTGAGGACCTAGAGTAAAAAAAGCTTTCTCTGCTGTAGTCTCCAAATTTATCCTTCCTCCCTCCCTCCCTCCCTTTTCTCTCTCTCTCTCTCTCGCTTTCTCTTTCTCCTTTTCTTTAACATATATTCTGAACTTCCATCCCAGAAAGGATCTATGGGCACTGTATGCAGAAAAAGAAATCAATACAATAAAACAGAGGTAAGTAGCTTGGTGCCCTCCAGGTGCTTTGGGTGGTAATTCCCATAATGCCTTGTTACTGGTTGTGATGGCTGGGACTAATGTTGATGTCTAAAGCATCTGGATCAACCAGTTTAGAGAAACAGAGTTACATATATAAGAATAGTCTATTTAACTGTATGTTCTATTATGTTTTTAACTTGGTGCTAAAAAGAATTCAATATTGGCCCCAGGTGAATGTTCCATGAAGTAGCATCCCAAAGCCAGGACACCACTTTAGGGAAGGCTGTTGGTGTCGCAGTTAAGAAAGGAATTTTTCCTATATGTTCCTGGGGTGCTATGGAAATAACAAATAAATACAGAATCAACCAAGAGAAGGCCATCTTTGGATGAGCTTATGCATGGAGATGCTGACATGGGAGAAGAAATTCTTCCAGCTCATCAAGTCTTTCAAGGGCAGAATCAACCTTCTGAACTGTACTCAGTATCAGAAAGAAAGTCAGGGTAACTCTTTCAGGACTGATATACCATTTTATCATTTCCTTTTTGTTATAACCATTTACATATCACTCAACCATGCAACTCCTGGCAACCTGCAGCCATTTACACAACTTTACCACGGGCCTGCCAAACCTCTCAGTCATAGCTATAATCTTGATGTAACGCTCCTTCCATGCTCTGATCAAAAGTAATATCCACAAGTAAAAATCAAGAAAGTAGCATTAACAGGAGAGGGTAGACTGGGATCCATCCCTTTTATAACAAATGTTTAGGGTAAGAACACATTCCATCGTGGGCAAGCATCTAGCCTTGACAGAATGAAATAAAGCAAGAGGCTCACCAGAAAGCACTGGGTTAAATCCAGACTAGTCTTATACAAGAAGCTTTCATGCCTTCTCCAAACAATTCTCGGTGTCCTCAACAGCTGCTGCTACTCCTTTTTGTATTTATTTTAGTAAATATTTAAAAACACAATCAGGGAAAAAGGCAGGAAAAAAGTAGGGAAGTCAAAACTAAGTCAACAGCTGCTTCACAGGGTAGGTGCTCCCTACACCAGAACAATGTGGGACAGGATGGGCAATCTTAATTGAGAGTCACATTCTCTTAGGTGATCTACTGGGTCTTGCATTGCATACCAATGATGGGCAGCGATAGAGTCAAAATTAGATGAGGTCACATATTTTTCTGGTGCTCCGTTTTCTTTCTCTCCCTTTTTTCTTCTGACACTTTCTATTCAGACCTTCATAGCACATTGCTCTTGCCAGAAATTGGAATGGCCTACTTGCAAAGGACTTCTGAAATTAAGTCAAAGTGCTTACCCAACTCTTGCTTATTGGGTAAGGATGTTTCAATATACAGTGCTGGTGTGGCTGAAGGGGT